ACTAGAGTGCAACCCCTCCATCACTATCGAGCCAGGCAGTGAGTATGAAGTGGAGCACGAGCTGGCTGAATATATCCTCAGGATTCAAGTTGAGGTCTGTGTTTCAGCAGTTATGGGTTGCTCACGTAGCTAGGCCGTGTTGGTCTCGGCACATGATTCTCAGGGCTTGGCTGCACTACTCACCAAATGTGCAAAACTAGAATGAATCTTCTGAAGAACATGGAATAATACTCCGCCATATGTTTTGTCTTTGTGCATGTGGTGAGTAGAGGTCCTCAGGGCCACTGCACGTATTCCTAAGATTAGTCCCAAGACTTTTTTTTTTTTTTTTTTTTAACTATACTCTTCTCTCAATTTTTCCTCACACTACCTACCTACCACTACTCGTACTTGTAGGCATACGGGGAAGCCCGTAGCATACCCAAGACTCGGACAAGGTACCCCTCCAAAAAAAAAAAACCACCAGGATTCTGATATCACGTGTCATGCTCCACGATTTGATGACGTCCCAATTTTGCGCAACAGTCACAGCCACTTGGCAATGCCCAAAAAAAAAAAAAATGGTCCACTTGCAAATGAGGATTGGATTTAAAGCCCGAATCTGGACGGGTTTGTCGAATGGGGCCCAAAAAAATACCAGCGATGGATGTGGTTTTCTGCAGCTGCGGGTAAGACGCGTCCAGATTCGGGCTCCAATCCTCTTTGCTAGAGGAACCTCGTCTTTTTTTTTTTTTTTTTTTTTTTTTTTTTTTTTTTTAATAAAGACGGGAGAAATATAGCTCATTTCCAATGTTTGGCCAGCTGAGGCAGAAGCTGGCAAATAGCTTGCCGACATTGAGGATTTACACAAATAACAACCAGCTGAACAGACTTGCAGCGGTCGTGATTTACACAAACAACAACCAGCTGAACAGACTTGCAGCGGTAGGGACCGGGTTGTATGCTAATCTATGCAAAGGACCTTGTGGACGCATCTAGACTGATTCATGGCGGTTATACGAAGAGTCTGTGATGCAAATCAAAATCCATAATGACGTCGCTAAAACTTCAATAGACAGCAAATGGAGCCGTTAACGAAACTCAGCACCTCAGTTCTTCCGGGTCGCTGGCACACAAAGCCATATAATAACCAGGCTATGGCTCGCAACTGTGTACTCTAGACCGTGTTCACTGAAGCTCTAACAGAACCTCGTCTGTGGTCTAACAGAGAGGGGCTAGTTGCACTATTCCCCATCGCCCAACATTTTGAATGTATCTGGACAAATTTGAGTCCAGATGGGCTCAACGTGTTGCCGATGGCAGTAGTGCAACTAGGCCCTGAGCGTCGCCCCAGGAGACTGCCAAAGAACCAACAGAGACCCTCTCCCTACTTCACAGAATTCCATATGTATCTGGATGATAGCATGCGTCCTGATACATTCAGAAATGTTTGGTCAAAATAATGTTTTTTTTTTTTTTTTTTTTTCGGAAATAGCATCATTCCATTGTAATAGCAGAAGGAGGCCGGGAATCCCTCCACATCTCAACCCGGAATGAAGAGCCAAGCCTCAGGGCCTCGCTGCACTACTCTCGACATGCACAAAAGACAAAAATCATAGGGGTGTATCTTTCCATATTCTAGCAGAAGATTCACTCTCCGTTTGCACATTTCAAGAGTAGTGCAGCCAGGCCCTCATTCTCAGGGTGAGGGCCTCTGCAGGTATTCCTCATATTCTTTTTTCTTGTGTTTTTTTTTTTTCGTTCTTCTTTTTTCTCGTTTCTCCCCCCCCCCCCCCTTTTTCTTTTCTTAGGAACACGTGCAGTGGCCCTGAGGGCCTCTACTCACCACATGCACAAAAGACAAAACATATGGCTGCGTATTATTCCATGTTCTGAAGAAGATTCATTCTAGTTTTGCACATTTGGTGAGTAGTACAGCCAAGCCCCGAGAATCACGTGCTCCTAGCTAGGTGAGCAACCCATAACTGCTGAGACACAGACCTGTACTTGAATCCTGAGGATATATTCGGCCAGCTCGTGCTCCAATTCATAGTCACTGCCTGCCTCGATTTTGATGGAGGGTCTGCACTCTAGTGCTTAGAACGAGGCCCACCACCCTGTAGTCTGCGACGCGCGCGCGCGCCCCCCGGGGCCGCGCTCAATTTTTTCGTGCCACGTGGCGCGCAGCACGTTTGAACGTGGCCCTGAGGGGTATGAACGCGCGAGTTTGAACATGCACGCACGTTCAGCCCGTTCAAATGGTTACATAGGGCGCTGCTGGACATGGATTTGTTTGAGCGGTTCGTAGCGGGTGCTGTGAACACCCCGTTCTACAACGAACTCATTCGGCAGGGCGGGTTTGTTTTGGCTCGATAGTTTTTTAACTTGTTGGAGGAGAAGGATGTCGAGCTCGACGTCGGCCCCAGCCAGGAGCTGTCAATGCCCTTGCAGCTATGCGGCGGTTGTGAATCCAGCGGGGCTGTGCCGGAGGGGGGGGATTTGGGTTCTGGTGCAGCTACTCACCTACAGCGGAGCGAGAGCCGTGGTCAATATGACGACAAAGAAGATGAGGCATCACAACCGACGACGACTTCGCCGTTGAGGCAAAGAGACAGGTCTGTGCTGTCTATACCTGGGGTCCGGCAAGCCCCTCTAGTTCGAGAGGAGCTCGCTGCACCTGCCCAAAAGGCGGCAGTTCACTCGGAGGTCGGCCTGGAGAATGGTGAGGGTCATGGCGTGGAGGACGAAACTGTGGGCGGGGAGGGGATGCAGGGCGCTCCGCAAAAGAGAAGGGGAGATCGTCAAGACGACATTGTCGGCGCTTCGAAGAAACAGAAGACCAAGGCCCCGAAGAGTGTGGGGGAGAAACGGAAGGGAACCGGGGGGGAGCAGGACCGCCCGGGTACCACACGCCCGACTTCAAAACAGAAGCAGCCTGCGTCGGGACCTTCCTCGTCATGACCTCTCATCGACGTCGACGCCGGGTACTTCCTGAAGTACAAAGACGGCGTCAGAACAAAGCGGGAATTCGAGATTAGCCCAGCGCAGGTCATCGACCTCGGGGAGTGGGAGGATCTGTACAACCAGCGTTCCCTGGATCTCATCCTCATGGAAGGGATCAGAGAAGCGATGTGTTTGGCGTACGATAACAAAAAACAGTCGTACAAGTTGCCAACCTTAAAGTTGGCAGCGCTTGGGCTGCGAAAACCAACTCCAGGGACCAAGGTCGTGCGTCTAAAGCCGGAGGACTAGAAGGAGGAGTTGGCGGACCAATACTACTACTACATGGTGTGTGGGCAGCACAACGCGGCTGCCGCCAGGTCACTGCTTGACAGCGAGGTGGCCAAGAAGTACAATTTCGAGAGGTGACTGGCACGTATGGTGTACTTTTCGGATGACGACCTCGAAGGGTATTTCCTTGTTAGTTCCCAGGACAACAAGAAGGACCTCAAGGCACCTCCAAGACAGCTGAAACTATCGATGAAAGACATCCAGTGGTAGTGAAAGCATGACGGTTTCCCTAGAGTTGTTATGGGGAACCCAAGCGGGAAACAAGAATATGTCCGGAAATGGCGTGAGTTTTGTACGATGGCGCTCCATAAGACGACGTACAACAACTTGTGGACTCTCACAGATCAAAAGGGGGAGGACGTGATCAAGAAGCAAAACGCTGCCCTGCGTTCTTATTTCCCTCTGGCGATGGCCAGAGAGAATGTATGGAAACTGGCCATGGAATTTTTTGAGAAATGGGAGACAGGTAGATTGTTGGGCCACGATGGAGCAAAGTGGATCGTTAGGAAGAAGGTCAGAAACGTCAAGCCAGGGGTCGCCTACATCGACAACGACAAGTTGGCCAGAAAGGAGCCGCCAAACAAGAAAGGCAAAAATGAGAAAGAGGAGGGCGATTGGTTCGTGCAAGTGCCTGAGTTGGGCACATATTGTTGGAAAGCGATGAAAGCACTCACCGACAATGAGAAGTGTCGCGTTCTAAAGAAGGTGCTTGCTTGCGAGGTGGTTTGGGTCCAGGCCGACTCCCCCTCCTTGGCGAAGCTGGGGAAGCTCAGCGTGCAGGAAATGGTTCAGCTGGTGAAGTGCGACCTCGTTCAGGTGCGGTTGTGGAATTACAACCAATTCAAGCACGAGAAGAGGTCGAACGCGGATTGGATCCAAAAGTACTCTTTCCTGAAAACAAAGTCTGCTATCTTCAAACAGTTCGAAAGTCGAGGATTGGATGGCGATTTGTGGGACGGTAGCAGGAAATTCGTTTCTGACGCAACACTGTTCAAGGACTGCCTGCCGTACATGGGTTGTGACGAGGACCACTCAATCGAGGCGACGAAATCGTTGGTCGGCGACAGGAAGTTGACCGTCGACTGGAGAAACAAGGTTCTCTTCGTGTTGACTAGGAGTAGACTGAAGAGTCGGGAGATCGTTCTTGCCGAAGGCATTGTGCACATAAAATGGAAAGACACGGGAGACGTGACATCCATCGCACCGTTCGGCAACGACCCTTTAGAGGCAGACATCAGGAGTGCAGAGCTGACGGAAACGGTGGCTTCCACAAAGAGCCACACATTAGTCCTCGATCTGAGCGAACCGGTTGATCTGAAGCTGTAGAATGCGCAAGCGTTCGAGACTTTGAATTCCCATCTTTGGACATGGCATCCGTCGTATTGGACGCTCGTTGTTTTCGTGCCCCGACAACACAACCTCTCGTTTCTGACCAGCATGCACCCTCTTTCTCTCGTGAAGCTGCTGGAGGGGAAGTGGGTGAGGAGCAATCAGCAGAAGAAAAGTTTCCCCATCGGGAACAATTTGTACACGGAAAACGACCGCATGTACATCCTCTTCACGGGTGACGATCTGCGCGTTAACACGTCCCTCGTTTACGATTGAAAGCTACCGAAGGGTGCCGCTGCTGTGGTGCGGTTGCCTCAGAGGGTCACCCACACGGATGTGTCGGAGATTCCCTTCACGCCTTGCGACTGGTCGCAGACCACGCCTAAGCGACAGAGCAGTGTCTACGGGGACATGGAACGTAATCCGACACAATTCGTCGGTCTACTTGATTTCGTTAGCAAAAAGGGAGAGGGTGTCGTCTTCCTTGGGAAGCCGCACGTGCGAAGCGTGTGGGAACTTCTGAAGGCAGGTCGGCATGTTGTCGCAATGGAAAGGAACTCCGAGCTGTTGCAATTCATGATGGAACTCGTCAAAAGCGAGGTCAATTCGGGGGCCCACAATTGCGAGTTCATGGTCGTGAAGGCGACACGGGATCTCGTGTGGAGCAACAAGACGGACATGTGGTTCAAGTTGAGTGAGAGGAAGAGGAACAAAATATACGACTTCTTGTTCCTGCAAACAAGGCCGAGGAAGGACACTGGCGTCGAGTACATCCACCTCAAGGACCACATGTTCGCGTTGCTCGACAACTACCATGGCGCCTCCCGCATGAACGTGAAGAACTTCCTCGAAAAGCTACAGTCCCTGTACTTCGTCGAGTCCGAGGAGGACTTGAAGTTCGGCAGCTACGCTTCCTTGATCTCCACTAACGACGAGGTAGCCACCGGTGTCGAGTTCGACACCAACGTGAAGGAGGAGGAGAGCGACACCGAGAGCCTCGACCTGCAGTGTGACCCATCTCCGGCGGAGCATGCCCGAGGGTCCTCGTCGGCCGGTCCGTCAACAAGCCCAACATCCCTTATGTCGTCGATGGCCAAACCGGAGCCAGGCACTACCCCGATGAAGTTGTTGGGGAGACTGAAAGCTCTGGCCGTCCCCCTGCACGCATTGCGTCTTGGGTCAGACATCCCGCCCGATCATCTGTCTTGGAAGAATGACAACATTCACTTCCTTCTTGAGCCGCAAAGTCATTCGACTGAGGTGGACTGGGGCCATGACATGATTTGGCATCCAGACATCATCCAGCCCGCGATATAAAAGGGCAAGTGGATCATGGTCATCGTTGTCCCGAGCGCAGGATGGGTGTCCACCCCTCGCGAGTCGAAGTCCAACTTTCTGCACCTCGCACGGATTTCGGTCCTCCAAAAAGAGAGGGTCGAAAATGACACGTTTGCACCCGACGACGTATCCGTCATTTCCACAGTCGGGCGATTGTTTGACGAGCTTCAGGACAAGAGCTGGTTGGAACCGACGGAGGACTATTACGAGCTCGACATGAGCCCGTCGAAGGGCATGCTGGACTGGAAAGTGCCCCCTCCCAGTGGGGCGCACGAAAGTTCCGGGGGTGAGCTACCAGGCGGTGGAGGGGACGGGGTTAACAGTGCGGGGGGTGGCACAGGAGTCCCGCCCAATAGGGAGGGCGGGTCTCACGACGACACAACGACAACGGAAGGCAACGGCGGGGTGGCGGGTTTGGCCGTTGATCGTCCTCCGTCTACTGGCCCCGGGCCGGAGCATGCGACGCAGTCCACCAACCTCCCAACTTCGTCCACCGGCTCAGCGAGGGAGACGACAGCAGTCTTCGTTGCTCTCGGTAGCCGCTCGGGCCGAACGTTCCGCCGGGATCCGAACTACGTCCGTTCAGGTGCCGAGCCAGGATCCTACAATTGGCAGCGTTGTGGTGAGAGACGAGAATGTGTCGCCTGAGGGGGACCGACGGCCGTTGGGATTGGGCCGAGAGGGTACAAGTGGAGGGCCCGACGATACGGAGACAACGAAGTCCGCCGAGATCCGAACTTCTTCAGGCGGGGGGGGTCAGCCAGTGATTGTTGTACCGTCGGCGACATCGGGAGGGGCAGCGGTCGTGGAGACAGAAGGGCAGTCATCAGGATTTGACACGGGTTCGGGAGAAGGTGCTGAATTGCATGGAAGGGAAAGAGGGGGGGAAATGGAGGAAGGGAAGGAAGGGGAAGAAGGGGAGGAAGGGGAGAAAGGGGAAGACACGGAGCTGATTGAATTGCTTGAAGGAAAAAACGGTACGAAAGTGAACGTGGGTATTAGAGACGACGAAGGGCAGGACAGTGAGGACGATGCCGGATCTTGAGAATCGTCTGACGAGTTCGGACAACTGTACGGAGAGCACCGCGAGGATGATGTCGACGATGATGCGACCACAATGGAGGTGGAGACATAGATGGTCAGCAGCCTTTCGACAGAACCAGAAGACTATGAGGTCCAACCACCGACGTCTGTCGTCGATCTACAACACCGGTTCGACGAGGCTTCCATTGCTATGAGCCCATCTAAAGTTAGTCGTTGTATAAGCATCGAAGAAGTTATCGATGGCATCCTCAGCGACCAGCACGTGCCCTCGCATCCGTCCACAATGCTTGACATCGACGACACTCACAACGTCAAACCTTTCGTGGCAGCGGCCTTCGTTTTCTCGCCGTCGAACTCTCCGATACTGCTGGCCACCCTCGCCAGCGGAGGGGAAGGTGAGGTCGGGAGACGACAACATGTCACATCCCTGAAAAAATCTAGGGTCGGCACTCAAGCTCTCGACGTATTGGCTTTGCCCGTGCCAACTTCACCGCCGAAGGAGCGGAGAGAAAAACCGGCTGGTAAGCTGTGAAGAACGCCACACTCTGCGCCTAGGCTTCCAAGAGCGAGAGTGCGGCTTCCTTCGTAGTTCGGATGTTGGCGGACTACAGTCCGCGCCATACACACAACAAGTGTCCACACTGTCTGTCGATGCGGGGAGTTCCGAATACCGACATACTACAACCACAAGTCCTTCCAACTAGATGCCATCGGCCTTCCTGTGAGTCAATCAGATTGCTGGTCGCGGGCAAGGAAAACTTCAACAAAAACATAACATTCCATAAACGGAAGGATCTATTTTTCTATGAAGTGTGTTTTTATTGAAGCATTCCCTCACAAAGGCCTCCCCGACTAAGAAACTTAACGGAATGACATTCTTTTCTTCTCGGAAAGAGTGGTGGTTAAAGTCCGCTGGGATCCACGCTTCCTATGTCGATGTGTAATGTGGTTACTCTCTGTGCGCTTGCTTTGGGAAAAAGTCCGCCGGAATCCAAACTTCGGGGAATGTTGGTCTTCCGCTTCAGTGACTTGTGGTGGTTTTCCTTTGTGAAGGGTGGGGGTGTCAAGCTCGAATGCGCTTCAGTGACTCGTTTTGTTTTTCAGCGGCACACACGCACCTCGGTGCTCATGGCCATGCAAAATCGGGGTTTTATAATTGGAGAGGTTCTGCGTCTTTTAGATTATGTGGTTCTCACATTGTCACTTTCGTCGGATTCGTGTTGGGAAACGTGTATTCATTTTTCGTTTTATCTTTCTTCTGTTGTACAGGGGTAGGGTCATCTCGAACATGGAAGTCCTTGAAATATCTGGAACACATATTGTAGATAGTCCCCGAGTTGACGACAAAGCATAAGGATATGTTAAAGGCATCGAGGGTTGATATCGAGATCGAAAAAAAGGAGCATGTCATTGCCATTGAGGAGTGTCTTTCCCTTCTGCCCCCAGAGAAAGGGACATATCCACGATCTGTGAGTAGGGGTCAGGCCATGTATGAAAAATACTTAGCAACGCGTCGTGCAATGGAGGACAATGCTTAGAACTCCGTTTCTCACTACCCCTCGTGTCTTTTGCTCCACGTTGTGCAGTGCGAGCCACAACACATAAAACACACGGGGGAAGATTCGCTGCAGCGACTACGTCTCGAAGCTTGCAGGTTTTGAACGATATTAAACGAGGCTTGGTGCCACCTCACACTGTTCTCTCTACCCCCATCGATGGTCAATTGCGAATTGCCGCAAAAGATTTTCTCACCCTCTTGCATATCGATGGCAGGGTGAATAACAAGATGATCAATTTTTACATGACGCTCCTGGGGTCGACTGCATGTGCGATATGTGACATTCCGTCAGGCCTTCAAGTCTTCAGCTTTAATTCGTTCTTCTTCAGTAAACTGCAACTTCAAGGACACGGTGGGGTGAAAAGGTAAGCTAAAAACGTAGATCTGCTTCAATATGATATTATCTTTGTTCCTATCCACAAAGATGATCACTGAATCCTCCTTTCCGTCAACTTGAGAGATAATGTTCTCGAGATTTGCGATTCTTATCCTTGCGTTATGGCTGATTCGAGTTTTTACCTTAGTGTTTTCGAATGGTTGTATAATATTTGGAACGTCAAACATTACATAGGCGATCGGGTAGGAGTAGGAAGTCCATGGCAACAAATGTTGTGGTGGAAGGAGTTACAAGACAAGTGGATGGAGCTAGTTGTGGGGTGTTAATGTTGATCTTTGAGACATTGTTGCAACATGGTGATCCATCACCTTTCAGGTTCTCTTGTAAAGATATTCCGCTTATTAGACGACAATTGACATCACATATCTTGGAACGCCGTTGTCTTTGATGGATTTGATTGACTTAGAAACTTCCTTTTGAAAATATTTCATTCATTAATGATTATATTTTGTAAATCCTGACCTTACCCAATTGTCGTTTCCCCAACTACATTGCTTTATTTTATCGTTGCGGGTTTGCGTTGTCTTTGACATGCTCACTGTCAGTCTGGTGTCACGTGTTGATTTTCGAATCTTTGTCACGTCCTAGTCGTCTCTCATGAAGCAGAGCAAGTGCACATTGCGTTCCTTGTTTTAAATTATGTTTAAGTGAACCAAAAGTGTACATATGATTGGCATCAAATAATATCGGTGATTGTAGTGCAACATGACAAATTGGTGTGTGGATGCAAAACAGATCTCGTGTGTGGTTCATTCTGCAAATACCCCTAACATCACGTCTCTTGCCTGCCCATAGGATCACATGCCTTGTGACCGCCTCCATTACATGTAACCAATATTTTTGTATTCGTACCTAAGTCTTTTGTGCATAGCCAATTAAAGTACGGATTCAATAAAAAATATGCAATATTTAAACTTTTTGGAATCTTGTGTAATATGACAGGTGTTGTCGCAGAAAACAAAATTGTATGTCAAAATTAACTGTTTATTACAAGACGAACGGTGAACATCTTTGAGTTGTATTTTGACTACTACTGTAACTGTTACATTACTTGAAGTTTACAATGACACATTGTTCAAAGCAAACATGTCTAAGAAAGATACAATCATGATACCTTGCTCATCACAATTATAAACAAGTATGGATCTCAGCACACTTCCGCATGTCGGGCAAGATGGTGGGCGTGTCCATCATCACACTAAGTATTCTAAAGAAGTCCGGATTTCATCAACATCCATACAACCGTCTCGCGCGAGATAATGGGCATGCCTGCACAACTTAGAAATGACTTGAAGAAAAGTATTATTCAGCAAAAATTCACTTATGACACCTTGCTCATCACATACATAAACAGTTTAACAAGTATGGATCTCAACACACTTCCGCACAGGGTTCCCGGATGGGTGTGCCTATCGTTACACTAAGTCTTCTAAAGAAGACTTAGTCCTGATCTCATCGAACCTCCAAACAACCGTCGTAGGCGAGAAGATGGACATGCGTGTACAACGTATGGATAACCTAAATAATTATATTGTCCAACGAGGATTTAATCATGACACCTTGCTCATCTCGTTTAGAAAGTTTAACAAGTATGGATCTTAGCACGCTTCCGCATTTGATATCTCATTTATATAGTTTAACAAGTATGGATCTCAGCATACTACATTGCTTACGCTACAACCAAAAATGAATTCGTTAGAAAGAGGACACAATATAATATCTTATTTTAACGAATAACATGTTGCTTTCTTGGGTGAGTCAGTCTGCATCGCCGACACTTCACTCAAGGTCAGTTAACGACTCAAACCCCTCACTCCCCACGCGAACCCACACTTTGCTTGCCCCATTTTCTTTCTTTGAATGTTCAGTTGAAAGGAGAGGCTTGATAATGTGTGTTCAAACGTGAAAAGGCAGTGTTGTCTGATCCCGTGTGTCCTTGTCTATCCTCGAAAACTGCCTTGACTTTGTATTTTGTTGCAGGCATGTGAGCGAAAGTTTGGTATGTGTAACGAAGACTAGGGTTTTGTGGGTGTAACGCTTTATCTGTGCAAAACTTAAATGCTTTCTTGTCCGTAAGAATCTTGGTCGATTGAGGGTCACGAGGGAGAAATTTCGTCATTAATTTGCCTTTCTCCATTCGACTATACGATTTCTGAATTAGGAATTCAACGGTATGGATCGTTCGTTATGAGGTGACCCTCACCTATTACCCACAACACAAAAAGAAGGTAAAATGCGGTGAAACGGGTCTACTGAACTCTTTCGTTTTATACTTCTTTCCTTAACTATCTTGCGCATAAGAAACTGCTCCTACAAGCATGCGCCTAGCAGCCTCGTCTGGCTCGAGCGGGCACCAAGGAAGGATGAGCGGTCTCAGAGTCAAGTTCCCAATTTTCGCAGGCATCGTGGGATCAAGAAGCGATAGGATTTGCCTCATTATTAGTCTTGCTCACGCTCGATGTCATTCTATTTATTGTCCACCCTCTTATATATTTCATTTCACTTCAAGGTTTCGACGTTGTCGGTTCTTTTAGGACGATAGCAAGAGTTAGTCCGCCGTAGTCTCCATCCCTCGGTGTGCCAAACCTCGGCTAAGGAAGCAAAATGGCCAACCGAAATATGAAGGCGTGGGTAGCAGATAACTCAAGTGCCGCAAGCGATGCTGCCTTGAGCAGTTCACGACGGGGAAGCGCGGTGGTTGCCACCATCATGTTGTTTCCAAATAAGACGGAGGTGAGGGCGTTTGTTGTTGCTACCGCGGGAGGATTTAGTCAAGGATGGGCGAGAGCCAGCCGCATGGTCTTTCATCCACCGGATGTCTATCCGATCGAGGTAGAGCTCAGGGAAGACCAAGGAACCCTCGAGGACCCGCGAGTTTACGCATTCCTGATTACGACCATGAAGTTGCTACTGAGCATTGGCTTTGTCCTCTCAAAGATGCACCGGAGGGACATAGGGGTTGTCTACGACGTCGTGAACGAGACAATCTATCACAAGTTCGAGGACAAGATCATGTGGTTGTCCCTACAGATTACGCAAAACCACCACGCTCGGCAAGGACCATTTGTGTTCATCCAACATTATGACTGTTG